ACTAACTCATGGTGGTTATGACCAGGTACATCTTTTAATGGTACTGTCTACCTGGTGTTGTAGCTAGTGAAATAGACCAAGCCAAGGAGAAAGAAGCATATGGTCAGTGAGCCCCAGAGAGACAGCTGGTAGAGTGTGTGATCTATATTCCCTCAAGACCCTGAGCATCTTGACTGGGAAGGTGAAAGATCCGGTGTCATATTTTGCTGAAAAGACACAGAACAGAGCTGCTGTCTATATAACCTTTATCCATTCCTGATTACAGCTGTGGATAAAAAATTGATCTGTACCAAAAAATATAGTTTTGAAAGTGAGATTCTAGAAAAACTCAGCTTCTCTTTCAATCTGGGGCTCATAAAATAACTTAATTTTAGATAGGTTTAGCAAATTTGCAATTGGTGAATCCTTTCATTTTCTTGGTGTTTATTGTGAGTGAAACAAACATGTAATACTGATTACAACCTCTACACCATTGTCTTTTAAAAAGAAGTAGAAATACTGAGCATTAGAAATTACACTTGTGAAATAGATTTGTTGATAAGTGAATTTACCCAAAAAAACTAACTGCATTTATAATCAATAACATGTTTCACTTTAACAAAGTGAGTTAATAGGAAAATGAAAGCTAAAATTTATTTATTTTTCTGTTTTTATATTTTATTTTAATAATGTGGGTGGGGTACAGTTCAGGATTAGGTATACAAGTGGGCATCGTATAGGTAAAGTTTGAACCTCCCTTTGGTCCCCACAGTGCCTGGTTTGAGATCAGGTACCCTTATTGATGTTGTGTCCCCACCCCCACCCTGGCAGTATCCCACTACTGCCAATCCCTTTCTTGTAGTATTATGGTAAACGTTCAGGGTCCACTTATGAGTAAGAACATATGGAACTCTGTTCTTTGTTTCTGTGATAGATCACTGAGTATTATAGACACTAAATCCATCCAAGTTGCTGCTAAGTCCATATGTTTGTCCTTCTTTATGGCTACATAATGTATGTGTATATGTACCATATTTTTTTAATCCAGTCCAGTTTCAAAAGGCAGCACAGTTGGTTCCACGTTTTTGCTATCGTGAATAGTGCTGCAATAAACATGCATGTGCAGGTATCCTTTTGGTAGAATGATTTTAATTCCTCCAGGCATATTCCCATAGGGGGATTGCTGGGTCATATGGAAGGTCAATTTCTAGTTCTTTTAGAAATTGCCACACTGTTTTTCATAGAGGTTGAACTAGTTTGCATTCCCATCAGCAGTGCAGAAGCGTTCCCTTTTCTCTGCATCCTCACCAGCATCTGTTGTTGTTTGTTTTATTAATGATGGCCATTCTTACTGGGATTAGGTGGTATCTCAATGTGGTTTTGATTTGCATTTCTCTGATGATGAGTGAGGCTGAGCACTTTTTCATGTGTCTGTTGACTGCTTGCATGTCTTCTTTTGAGAAGTGTCTGTTCATATCTTTTGCCTACTTTGTAATGAGGCTGTTTGCTTTTTTCTTTTCGGCATGTTTGAGTTCTTCGTAGACATTAGATGTTAGGCCTTTGTCAGATATGCAGTTGGCAAATGTTTTTTCTCATTCTGTGGACTGTCTCCCCACTCTGGTTTCTTTTGCTTTGCAGAATTTTTTCAGTTTAATGAGGCCCCATTTGTCTATCTTATCTCTTATGGCATGGATACCTGGGGTTTTGATCAGGAATTGGTTGCCTTCTTTGATTTCTGTAAGGGTGTTGGAGCCCTTTAATGTTGGAGGATCATCAGGAACTCCCTTTGGTTCATCCAGTCTTTGGTAGTACAGCATTCGAAACCAAAGGCAGCGACCCTAAATTAGTTACTTTCATACTTCTTTCTAGTAAAGATTCCTCAGGAAACCAGTGATACTGATATACAAAATCAAACAACTTTTTCACACTATACTCCCTGCTTTCAATATTCTTGGTTTTGCACGACCTCCACATTGACTACCTTCTTGGTGACCAAAAATCTTAGAGGTACTTTCTGTTATTTCTTCATAATTGTTCCCTTGGAAGAAGGGCCTACTTTGAAACCGGTGGCTAAAGCTCAGACTTACCAAAATCTGGGCTTGGTCTAGCATCAAGGTCAATCCAGCATTCTCCCTTAATTTCATTTTAGCTATTACAGTTAACAGTGACCAAGGGATTGGATAATATGCCCTTTTCTTATCAATTTACATTTCCTTATCATCTAATCAACTCCCTGGGAGTTGGGTTCATCTCTAAATTTCAATGATAGTTTACCTTTAGTAACTGAGCACAGTATCGCTGCCACTTCATACCATGGGTAACCACGTGGACACCCAGGTCAAAAGTTCCTCATCTCCCCACTTTCATCATGTCTCTTCCCAAAACTCATGCTTCCATGAGCTAACATGGTGTAACAAATGTCACTCTTGACGCCAGTTCTGAAATGTTTTACAGTGCCAGCAAATGATACTGTCGACCTGGAGTTAGCATCAGATCCCACAATTTGAAAGGCTCAGTCCATATAAGTCTGTCCTCACTTCAATTGCCAATCTCAAGTCCAGCCCTCATGGACTTTTGACTGACCAGCCACAGATCATATTCCTATGACTTTCTCCTTGAGTTGATAACTTTCTAGAATGGCTTACAGAACTTGGGACATTTTATGTATATTTACTTGTTTATTATAAAAGATTCAAGTCAGGAACAACCAAATGGAAGAGGTGCAAAGGGCAAAGTTTTGGGGTGGGAGGTGTTGGGGGGTTTCCATTCTCTCTCCAGATACATCATCATCCCAACACCTTGATGCTTTCATCAACTCAGAAGTTTTTTGGCCCATTTTTTAATCGGGTTGTTTTCATTGAGTTTTAGAATTCTGTGTATATTTTAGATGACAGCCCTTTATCAGATGTGTCTTTTGCAAAACTTTTCTCCCAGTCTTCTCATTCTCTTGACATTGTGTTTTGTCCAATACACTTTTTTAATTTTAATGAAGTCCAGCTTATCAATTATTTATTTCATACATTGATGTTGTATCTAAATAATAATTGCCAACACAAGGTCATCTATGTTTTCTCCTGTGTTGTCTTCTGGAAGTTTTATATTTTTTCTTTTACATTTACATGTGTGTTCCATTTTGAGTTTATTTTTTGTAAAGAGAGTAAGGCCTGTGTTTAAATTCTTTTTTTTTCTTTCTTTTTTTTTTTTTTTTTTTTTTTGCATGTGGATGTCTAGTGGTTCTAGCACCGTTTGTTGAAAAGACTATTTTTACTCCTTTGTAAAAGATCAGTTGACTGTATTTATGTGAGTCTATTTCTTGGCCCTGTATTCTGTTCCACTGATATGTTTATTCTTTCACCAATACCACACCATCTTAATTACTGTAGCTTTATAGTAAGTCTTGAGGTTAGGAGTGTCAGTCCTCAAACTTTGTTCTCCTTCAATATTATGTTGGCTATCCTGGGTCTTTTGCCTCTCAGCATAAACTTTAAAGTTAGTTTGTCATTATTCACAAAATAATTTACGGGGATTTTTATTAGAATTGCATTGAAGCTATAGATCATATTGGGAATAACTGACATCTTGACAATATTGAGTCATCCTCCATTAACATGGAATACTTTTCTATTTAGTTCTTCTTTGATTACTTTCATCAGTTTTAAAGTTTTCCTCATGTATATTAAGATTTATACCTAAGTATTTCATTTTTGGAGGTGCTAATGTAAAATGGTATTGTGTTTTTAATTTCGGATTTCACTTGTTCATCTTTGATATATTAAAAAGTATATAAGAAAGACTTTTGTATAATAACTGTATCCTGCAACCTTGCTATAATCACTTATTAGTTATAGGAGGGTTTTTTGTCATATATTTTGGATTTTCTATATAGATGAACATGTCATCTGCAAACAAAGATACTTTCCTTTCTTTCCTTCCTTAAATACCAAAATAAAAGATATTTTATTTCCTTTTCCTGTCTTATTACAGTAGTTATATCTCTTAATTTATTTATTCTGCTTTTTTAAAAATGCCATAGACTGAGTGGCTTATAAACAGAGAAATTTATTTCTCCTAGCTCTGAAGGCTGGGAAGTCCAAGATCAGTGGGCCAGCAGATTTGGTGTCTGATAAGGGCCTTCTTCCTCATAGATGGCCATCTTCTCATTATAATTTTGCATGGCAAAGGGGCATGGCAAAACTATTTTATAAGGGCACTAATCCTATTTATGAGGCTCTACCCTAATGACCTAATCACCTCACAAAATCCCCATCTCCAAATATCATCACATTGGAGATTAGAATTTCAACATAGGGATTTCAGGGGAACATGAACATTCAGACAATAGCAGTAGGGCTTTCAGAACAGTGTTGAAAAGGAGTAGTGAGAGGGGACATCCTTGCCTTGTTTTTTATCTTAGTGAGAAAACTTTGAGTTTCTCACCATTAAATGTGATGTTAGATGTAGGTTTTTTGTAGGTATTCTTTATCAAGTTGAGGAAGTACACCCCATTCCCAAATTATTTAGAGTTTTTATCGTGGGTGTTGGATTTTTCTGCATCTATTTTATAGGATTATATGATTTTTCTTCTTTAGCCTATTGAAGTGATAGATAATGCAATTTGATTTTTGAATGTTGAAACAGCCTTGCATACTTAGGATAAATCCCACTTGGTTGTGGCATATAATTCTTTTTATATATTCTTAAATTCCATTTGCTAATATTCTTTTGTGGGGTTTTTCTTTTCTTGTAATATCTGTGTTTGATTTTGGTATTAGGGTAATTCTGGCTTCATGGAATGAGTTGGAAAGTATTCCTTCTGTTTCTGTCTTCTGGAAGAGATTGTAGAGTACTGATATGATTTCTTCAAATATATAGTTGTTATTATTTTAAACAAACAGTTATCTGTTAGAGCAATTCTTGCTTGCGTGGTTTCTGGCCAGAAGTGGAATGTAATTGTTACCTTTGTTCCTCTATTATTCTCCTCTGGCTTCTCTCAGAAATTTTTCTGTATATTTTATTTTCTGTAGTTTCAAAATGATATTTTTTGACACTTATCCAGCTCAGTGTTCTCTGAGCTTCTTGGATATATGACATTAATTAGAGGGAAATTCTTAGTCATATTATTTCAAATATTTCTTCTGTTCCATTCTTTTTTCTTCTCTTTCTGGAATTTTCATTACACATATGTTGCACCTTTTGTAATTGTCCCAATGTCCTTGGATATTCAGTTCTTTTTTTTTTCAGACTTTGTTCTCTTTGCTTTTCAGTTTTGGAGGTTTCTAATGATATATGCTCAAGCTCAGAGATTTTTTTCCTCAGCTTTGTCTACTAATAAGCCCATCAAAGGCATTCTCATTTCTGTCTCAGTGTTTTTGATCTCTAGTATTTGTTTTTGGTTCTTTCTTAGGATTTCCATCTCTCTGCTTACATTACTCACCTACTCTTACATATTGTCTACTTTCTCCATCAGAATCTTTACAACATTAATCATAGTTGTCTTTAATCCCCAGTCTGATAACTCCAACATCCCTGCCATGTCTGGTTCTGATGCTTGCTCTGTCTCTCAAATTGTTTTTTGCCTTTTATTATGCCTTCTAATTTTTTTCTTGATAGCCACATGTGATATACCAGGTAAAAGAAACTGTTGTTAACAAGCCTTTAGTAATGTGGTGGTGAATTGTGGGGGGAGGGAGGCACATTCTACACTCCTATGATTAGGTCTCAGTCTTTTAGTGAACCTTTGCCTCTGAACTGTGAACTGTATAAGCACTTCTCAGTTTTTTTCTCCTCCCTTAGGTGGCACAGGATAACTAGAGTGGATAGAAAGAGTATTTCCCTTCCCCAGGTCAGTTATGCTCTGATACACCTCAGAAAGTCAGACTCTGGTTAAGTAGTTTCTTTTGAGGGCAGATCTTGTTAAGAACAGAGTGCTGTAGTATATTTCAAAATGGTTTCTTTTCCCTCCTCCTGCCGGAAGCTTGAAGGGATTTTCCTCTAATATTCATTGTGAAAACCTAGCTGAGCTCTCAGAGGTAAAACTCACAAAATTGTGGAGGCCTCCTCTGACTGGATCCAAACCAGTAAACTTTGACTTTTTAATAGGAGCGTTTCTCACTAGTGTAAGATGATATCTCACTATGACCTTAATTTGCTTTCCTCTGATAATTAGTGATGTTGAGCATTGCTTTCATATGTTTGTTGGCCACTTGTATGTCTTCTTTTGGGAAGTATCTATTCATGTCCTTTGCCAGCTTTTTCATGGTGTGTCTGTGTGTGTGTGTTGAGTTGTTTGGAGTTCTTTGTAGATTCTAGATATTAGTCCTTTGAGGCATAATTTGCAAATATTTTCTCCCATTCTGTAAGTTTTCTGTTCACTCTGTTGATTATTTATTTCACAGTGCTGGAGCTTTTTAGTTTAATTACATCTCATTTGCCTATTTTTGTTGCATTTGCTTTCAGGGTCTTAGACATAAATTCTTTGCCTAGACGGATGTCCAGAAGAGTTTTTCTTAGGCTTTCTTCTAGGATTTTTATAGTTTCAGGTCTAACTTTTAAATATTTAATCCATCTTGAGTTAATTTTTGTATATGGTGAGAGGAAGGTGGTTCAGTTTTGTTCTGCATATGACTGACCAGTTTGCCCAGCACCATTTATTGAATAGAGTGTCCTTTCCCCATTGTTTGCTTGCATCAACTTTGTCAAAGATCAATTAATTTTAGTTATATGACTTTATTTCTGGATTCTCTATTCTATTCCATTGATCTATCTTTCTATTCTTTTACCAGTACCATGCTGTTTAGGTTACTATAGCCTTGTAGTATAATTTGAAGTCAGGCATTGTGATGCCTCCATGTTCGTTCTTTTTACTTAGGATTGTTTTGGTTATTTGGGCTCATTTGGTTCCATATAAACTTTAAGATTGTTTTTTCTGGTTCTGTGAAAAATGATTTTGATATTTTGATAGCGATTGTGTTGAATCTGTAGATTGCTTTGGGCAGTATAATCATTTTAGCAATATTGATTCTTCCAACCCATGAGTATGGAATGTTCTTTCATTTATGTGTTGTATGCAGTTTCTTTTATCAGTGTTTTGTAGTTTTCCTTGTAGAGATCTTTCACCTCCTTGGTTAAGTGTATTCCTAGGGGATGTGTGTGTATGTGTGTATGTGTTGTAAATAGGATTGATCTCTTGATTTAGTTCTCAATTTGAGTGTTATTGGTATACAGAAATGCTACCGCTTTTTGTACATTGATTTTGTATGCTGAGACTTTTCTGGAGTCATTTATGAGGGATATAGCCTCTTGCAGAAGTCTTTAGAGTTTTCTACATATGCAATTATGTCTTCAGCAAACAGAGATAGTTTGACTTCCTTCTTTTCCAATTTGAATGACTTTTTATTTCTTTCTGTTGCCACATCGCTCTTGTTAGGACTTCTGATATGTTGCTGAATAGGAGTGGTTGTTTTCACTCTTGAGTCTCTGCTCTAGTAAGTCATCAGTCTGTTTCTCCAATCTTTGGTGCAGTTGTTTTCCCCTATATTCTCTGTACTCTCCTGTCTGTCTCTTCAGCTTGCGGGGCAGTAGTTTGTTCTTTTTCCTCACCTCATGGATCCAAGAAGTGTTGTTGATTTTTCAGTCTGTTCAGCTTTTTACTTGTTGCTACAACAGAATGGTGACCTCCAAGCTCCTTACATGCAGAACTAGAAGCCAGAAGTCCTTTGTTAAAATTTATGTACTACTTAAAGAAGCTTAACAAGAGGGTTAAGAGACCTGGGTAGTAGTCTTGACATTGTCACAGACTGTATGACCTTGTCAACAGGTCTCTTCCCTCATCTGTAAAGTGAGGAGTCTGTACTAGGTAAGTGGTGTTTTAAACTGCATTCCTCAGAACCCTGGAAATTTTGTGGCAATGCCTCAAAGACTTCCAGGAAAGTGAAGCTCCAGGACTCCTCCCAACTTTGGTTCAACCAGAGCAGCTCTACTTTTTATCTTTTCTTTTAAACAATTTTGTTTGAAACAAGGGTTCTAGTCCCCCTCTTCAAAAAAATAAAAACTTATAAATTACAGAGATCACTACCTGCTCTCAAATACTATGACCCTGTGCTGTAAGATCTTACCAGTCATTAAAGTCTTTTGCTGAGAATAGGTGTTGAAGTAGAAAAGAGACAGTATATGAGGGCACTGGGGATTAGTAACCATATCCTATAGTGGGGGAAAAGTGTGTTGAAATGATAGAGTCGAGTCTTGAACAATAAACTTCACACTTTTGTAGCCCAGCTCTCAGGCACAAATATTGTCTCTTTTTAGTTATTTTCCATAGTAAAGCTTTGAAACTGTTGGAAAACACTATTTTCTTTATTTTTCAGAAAGAATGAAATGGATAGACTTTTGACTTGCTTGAATACAGGTAAATATCTCCTTGGTTATTTTTAGTTCTTCTTCTTGCCTCTATCCTCTATCAGATTCTCCAAGTACACTGACTTTAACCTTATGTTTGAGTTAAGTTTCATGCTCCTTATTAAAGTTTGCTACAGGAGTCTATTTTGGTTTCTTAATCCACAAGCAGAGAAAGATTTGTCATTATTAGCATTCATCTCCAAATGTGATTTTAGCTGTTTTCATTCTAGTTTATTTTAAGGACATTTCCCTTCCTCCCTTCCTTCCTTCCTAATTGCCACTTGATCCTAACCTAGGAATTGAATAGGCAAAAATGATCAAGACAAATAAAAATGCTCAGAACCCTGCTGGTTTTTCATGCCCTCTGATTCAAATTCAGATAGTTTATTCTCTTATTTTGAAATTGTCCATCTTTCTACGTAAGTCTCTCTCTTCTCCCTTATCTTCTAATAATTCTTCCATGTCTGCTTCATTCAAGCCAGTCTCCTAGCTATATGGCATTTCTTCTTCCAACTCCATGCTTTCTTACATGATGTTCCTTTTGTCTGACAGGTTTCCAATTTTTACTGCCCATGTACCTCTTTCATTGTGTCCAAAACATACCAAAAAGTCCATATCTTAGAAATTCTATCCTATTAGTAGTTTAATTTTATACTTGTCAACAGGGTGTTAAACATAGCAGAATGGTTTAGAAGCCAAAGCTTTTCAAAAGAGAAAAACTTTGCTGGTTGACATTCTTATTTCTCAGAAGGGCATGGAGTATGTAATAAATGCTCTCTGGTAATCATGGCACATTCTGGTTCTGTACTGAGCTTGCAAGCAAGCTCAGTAAATATTATGCCAGTGTATTGATACCCTTCCAATTCTCAATCTCTAGTTCAGTCTTTTAAAGATTGTTTCTATTCTTTATTTCTTTACATGTAAATCATATCTTTCTACCTCAGGTAGTGAATGATGGTACTAATTAAAATTATAAATCTTTTCAAAGATATGTTTGTTCCCCAAAGTTTGAGTTAATAGCTTCTTAGAGCTTGGTAATGCTTTTTGTCATTTTAATTACTTTTGGTATGCACCCACGCATGCATACACAAAAAAGATCTTTCTAAATTCAAACTTACGTGTGACTTTTTAAAGCAGGATTAACAAATTTGCTAAAGTATAAGTTTAAAAATTTAGTCTCAATTTTTCCTGTTTGATGCAGCACTCCTGAAACTTGCTCTTTTTGATGGAAGACCCTCGACTTTGGATTTGCGGGCTAATGAAGCTCATTGGTTTCGAAAAACAGGTAAAAGAAAATTCTGTGGCTATGGGGAATATTGTGGGGTGATGGAATCAGACAGACGTGGGTTCAGAGTTTGGCTCTTTCATTTGTAACTGTGGGTACAGAAATAACTTGCTTAATCTTAGTTTTATTATTTATAAAACAGAAATAATTATATATACTTCATACAGTTATTAAAGACTTTAAAGGAAACAGTGTATTACTTGGCATATAACAAGTACTCAATGGACATTAGTTGTCTTCCTTTTCTGTAGAAATGGGTCTAATATTAAATCAATGAAATATAGCTACAAGTCTCCAAGTTTGTGTTCCTAAACTTGGTTTAGACTGCCTAATTTATCTTTAAATGTTTCACAAACAATGCTGAGCAAAAGAAGCCAGACATTGAAAAGTACATATTTCATGATTCGTTTTATACATAAGTAAAAACAAAACAAAATGAGCAAAACTAATATATGGTTACCTTTAAAGAGAGATTGAACTTAAAAGTAGTAGATTCTGTTCTACAAAACATACAAGGAGGAACTGATATCAATCCCATTGAAAGTATTCCAGACAATCATGAAAGATGGAATTCTCCCCAAATCATTTTATGAAGCTAACATCACATTGATACCCAACCCAGGTAAAGATCCAACAAAGAAAGAGATCTACAGGCCAATATCCTTGATGAACATAGATGCTGAAATTCTCAACAAGATTCTAGCAAATCAAATCCAACAACACATCTCAAAAATCATACACCATGACCAAATAGGCTTCATCACCAGGATGCAGGGCTAGTTCAATATCTGCAAGACCATATACATAATTGAATACATCAACAAATATAAAGACAAAAACCACATGATTATATCATTAGATGCGAAAAAAGCTTTTGATAAAATCTAGCACCCTTTCTTGATAAAGACCCTTGAGCATCTAGGCATAGATGGAACATACCTCGACATAGTAGGTATGTTCCAACATACTGCTAACAGAATGCTAAACAGACAGAAATTGGAACCATTTCCCCTGAAAACTGAAACAAGTCAAGGGTGCCCAATCTCATTCCTCCTGTTCAACATAGTATTGGAAGTCCTAGCCAGAGCAATCAGACAAGAGAAGGAAATAAGGGGTATCCAAATAGGAAAAGAGGAAGTTAAGTTATCCCTCTTTGCAGACGACATGATTCTATACCTTGAAAACCCTAGGGAATCTGTCAAAAACCTCCTTGGACTGATAAAGTAATTGGCAAAGTCTCAGGGTATTAAACAAATGTGCAAAAGGCAGTCACATTCCTATACACCAGGGGTCCTCAAACTTTTAAAACAGGAGGCCAGTTCACTGTCCCTCAGACCGTTGGAGGGGCGGACTATAGT